GTGAGTTTATTAGATCAAGTTTATAATAGATAGGTTGTTATTTCTGGTAACCCTTAATGGACTTTTGTTGATTAGGATGGATAATGAGGTTTTAAAGATTTGTTTATAGAGAATGAGGTGAGCTAGGGGATGAAGAGATTGTTGTAGTTTAGAGATGGTGATAAGTTGTTAATGTTGCTTACACTTGCTGGGACAAAGGGAGAAGTTTTTTTTTCCTTTTTCTTTCTAATTTCTTTTTTCTTTTCCTTTTTCCTCTGTACTTTTTCACTTTTTCGCTTTTATTTTTTTATAGTTTGCATTCGTTTTATCTGTACATGTAATCTTCAATAAAATTATTTTAAAAAAAACTGTTTAGATTTGCATTTCTAGTGGCTCTTTTTCAAACCTCCTAGTTGAATTCTTTATTATGATATTTACAATGTACAGTTAATCCAAGCATAAAGGACTATTGCAAATGTTCTCTACTAAAGTTTTAAAAAAGAAAAGTAGTAAACAACTAGCCTCTGAATCTGGAAGAAAAACAGTTTTTGCTCTGGGGAATGCAGAGGCTTTTGTAACACCTCAGGAGTCTAGTTAAACATCAGCAGTGGTCTTTGCCAGCCATTTGCACATTATCTTGAGGATCTACATCATTACTTTAAATTAGATTCACTTAATTAGCCAGCTGGTACTCTTCTTGTCAAACTGATAAACAAGCTGTGCTTCACAGTTCTGCAATAGTGTGACCAAAACAGCAAACAAAAAATGAAATAGCTAGAATGAAATATATGTATGCTTGTGTGTGTGTGTGTTTATATACACACACACACTGGGTATATGTGTGTGTGTATATGTGTGTAATTATGATTGCATTAATTTATGCGATTGTATCTTGAAAATTTTAAAAATTATTCTGTTTCTTTTCTGTTAGAATGGAATGCATCTGTTTACAAGGAATTTCATGTGTTTAACTTTTTTATGTTAACTGTACAAAACAAGAATTTTCCCCACATTTAGAAGGATGCAGTGTACTAAAAGGACAAATAAATGGTTGAGCGTCTCAATAGCTCTGCTACGGCCTACAATTTAGTAAAGTACATAGTGCACACATATCCATCTCTTGTTCAAATAATGAGCAAACACATTTTTAAACAAAAGTAATCTGGCTTCAGATTGTCAACTAATATTTTATGTATTGAAAAATATTGATTTGTATTTACTTTTCACCAGTTCTATTGCAATATTTCCACCATTTTAAATTAGTAACTATTAATTCTTCATATTCTTTAGGCTGTAAGTACAGATCCAGTTCCAGTGAAACTACATTATGACAAATCACATGATCAAGTATGGGTGCTCAGTTGGGGAAGCTTTGATAAGAATTCTCCTACACTACAAGTAAGTTTATTTAATTTTATATTAAAATATATTTTAATTTATATTATAAAATATAAAATATTTTTATATTAAATATAGACATGTACACTGGCTAGAAAATATAATG